TGGTTCGTCTGTTCATCGGTCATTGAAGGAAAACGTTTATGGCTAGCGTAATGTCTTATGCCTATATGTATTCTAATAATGTTCTCTTGCTCCCAATTATTGGTCATGGTTGCGGTAAAGGTTTGTTGGAGCCTGGTTGAGAAGTTCAGATGTTTATCCTGCATGATGAGGGACAAGAGCTGGAATAGGAAAGTTTCGTCATGGATATAGGTTTCCTAATCCTAAGGGAACAAGGGATCTAAATTTACCATTTTTCTAATGTGGTTTCATTAGACTAAGGATAGAATTCTCCGAGGGTTAGGAAAGTGTCGATAGGGTAAAAATCCCAAAGGATATTTACAAAGACTACTAAAAAAGAGCACGGACTTGGCTTGTCGTGGAAAATTGAAGAAAAACAATAGATAGGGCTAATAGTTGGTTTTGTCTAATATATTAATTAGAATTATGATTGATATCCTCGAGGAGCTTTTCCTTAAGAGATGGGATAAGAAAGAGAGAGAGCTCGTAGCTGTATATTTTTTTATCAAATTGATTCCTAACAGGAACAGGATTGGAAAATGTCACTGTGCGTTACACAATTAATTGGAAGTGGAATGAAGATAATACGCTTTACTCTTTCATTTGTAGCTGGATTATTCCTTTTGTTGGGCTAACTTGAATCAGTTTAATTTTTTTACGAAGCCTCATTTGAGTGCTATATTCTATTATCTCCTTGATTACTTATCAATTAAAATGAACATATTTGAATCACCGCCTATGGCACCTAGATCTTATTACCTTAGTAGCAGTTGTGGAAGTTATAGTAGTTCTAGAAGAGTAAGCTAAAAGATGACCAATCTCCCTATCATGATTCATGATCGGTGGCGACTCGGATGGCATCTGATTAAATAGCGCAGGAGAGTGAGTTCCCACAGGTCATTTTTTTCTCCTATGAGGCAAGTCTTTTAGAACACAAGAACGACTTAGAATCGGTAGAGCCATCCATGTTCAAAGAACAAATGCAGCTAACCAACCAGTAAGCAGGTTCCGTGGGTTAGGAGTCAGCCTTTAAGTGATAGGGGGCCCTCATTTCATACAAAGGAAATCAAAAGAATGGTACTATTGTGTCGATAATATTCGGTTGAGAGTTTTGAGCATAGGTCAGCAAGAAGTCATCCCCGAGGAAAGAATGAATCTTCGGCGAGCCGGTACTCACTATCTGTTCCAAAAACCTCTTTTCTCATAGCTCATAGGTAAGTGTGAAATTAGCCTGTTGTTCCTCTCTCGTTTAGTCGAGCTACTTTGTTCCTCAAATAAATCGGATTCGGGAGACCTTATTACTGAACTGTTGAATGGAACCATAAACTAAGGCGATCAATATTCCTCTTCTGATTAATTGACTATTCTCACCTTTTACAAGTCAAGTTAGTCCGTACCTCTCCTTTAATGGTGTGCTAGTCCTCGTTCTTTATTGATTGAATACGATATCTTGGTATATGGTTATTTAAGGTGTGTGGAGGGAAAGTTTCACATAATTTTCCCCATTCTCGAGTAACATATGGGAAAATGGGTCTATCACAATTTTGTTTGGACGCATATTGTACTTTAAGTGAGCAAACAAACCTCTCTTCTATAACCAGGGAGTTACGTTAGCATTTAAGAATCTTTATTTCGTAGGTGAATATCGATGTCTATTCCTAGCTAATCAAGAAAGGGTTGTCCTTCCTCTCAATCAATGTTGTTCTCCCTCTATTTTCTTCTTTCGGTTGTTGAGCGTGTCTGTTCGTTATGCTTTTCAGACGTTTGTTCTTGGTTATTGACAAACAAACCCAATTCTGGTGGATGGGGGAAGAAGAAGAATCAAAATCAGAATTGGAATCTTGTTCTGAGAAAGGATATGTTGCAGGGGAATTTGGCCCACTTAATTAATCAAGTTTTAAAGAACACGACCCAAGCCAAAGTTGGCTTCAGACTACTATCCGTCCCTAGCTGAATGGTTTGATTTTTCGATTAAGGATGGGTTTGAAAACAGGTACCAAATTGTCTTGATAAGGTGGGGATGGTTCTGCCCCTTTCCCCAAGAAATTGCTTTGATTGACCGAGATCTTGTGTTCTTTCATGAGTGATATGACACCATGCTAGTCGGACGGGAAGTAAGGCTTAGGTAGGGCACCTAGTCAGAAAAGTCGTAATCAGGTTACCCGAGATAGAATAGGGCTCAGTGCAATAGTCAATCTAGTAAATATAATAAGAGAAGAATTAGCGTAAGAAAAACCTAGCCTTTCCCTTACTGACGAGTGAGTACCCTTTTTTCTCTTTTTAGTTGAGTTGGTGTTCAATGTTCCCCGTGGGTACAAACAAGATTGAAAGGGTCAACAATCCCTTACTTTAGTAAGCAACCTCATTTTCCTTACTTGTTAAAGTAAGCAAGTCACCTCTCTTACTTTTTCTTGTAAGCTATTTCATTCTCGTACTTTAGTAAGTAAGCATGTAAACGACCATCTCTCTGCAGATAAAGACTATAGTAGGCCCCATAGAGATGTTGACATTTGGGTTCATTGATCTTGAAAAACTAACGGAGATAAGGTCGATATCTTGCTTTCCCGTGAAAGTACATAAGAAGGTCGTTGAGGTAGAGTCCATAGGCAAACTTTTTAGGATGTCTTTTCCCCGTTCCCGGTTCTTTTTTAAGACCCATAGTAGCTGCAAATCACCATTATTCGCACTCAGAATAAAAGAGTGAATTTCCATAATGATTTTCAAAGTGTCTATGAACATGAAAAATCTCTTTTCTACAACTTACAACTTTCATTGCCCTTATATTTAGCTCTCCAAAGAGCAATTCTTCTCAAAGGGTGCTGACAATTCTAAACGTGGCTTCAAAGTTGTTCTTTTTGAGTGTGGATTCAGTTGATTAACTGTGCCACCTTCCTTCTACTAGTTGATTTAACCGCATCAACCACAAAGAAAATGATGACCTATTCTCTAGCACCAGCAGGGGCAAGCCTAAACAACTACACCTTCCATGGGAATTTTGGAAGAATTCCATTTCCTTAAGGAATGAGTCCAAAGAGCGTCTACGACTACGAGAGCGGTTACCCTTCTAACCTTAACATCGGTTACGTCCTTCTCCTGTCATCGGGGATGGGAACCTTGGTAGAAATGTTGGAGGGTTCTCAACAGGTTGGTTTGATGCTAGCCTTGTTGCCTTGGCATTGGCTGATTCAAGACATCCTCGCAAAGGCACCATATTTCTTTAGTGACTTTAACAGACCTCTTTTTCTTAAATAAAATACTTGGGTTTTTGAGACAACTGCGATAAATGAAATTTTGAGACTCCATTTTTTTAACAACAGGTACTCTTTCTGCCTTAATTTAACAAGTAAGAAAGTAAACTACTTTCACGGGTAAGGATCATCTGCCCTATGAAAATGCATAGCCTCGACAGTGGTCTAAGGAAAGAAAATATGATCCATCACGTATGCTAAGGATATGGCGATTAACATTGAATTCTCTCCTCCTGTTTTAGTATGAATTGACTCGGTTCGGTCACTTTCTTCGTGTGTCCTTAAGTAACTCCTCTTGTCACTAGTCATTATGGCCGAAGGTTAGCAAGTCTGTCTCTTGATATAAATAGTCATCCTTTTCTTTCCTTTATTAGAGAATCGCCTCTCTCTAGTTTGGTAGGATTTCAATCTCTTCTGTAGTCATGCCGGTAGTGATCCAGGGAGTGAGTAAAGCCGCTTTCAAGCCAGTACAATACCACTCTCTCCTCAAATTGGATATTGGACCCTATTATCGAATAGGTTCTTTCAGCTAGGAACGGAGTATAGGTGTAAAACAGATTAAAAGCTCTCCAACGGTAGTTATCGAACGGTCAAATTGGCTTGTCTTTGGTCTTTCAATGAACTTCCTTCTCTCCCTTGATTACAAAGCACCACAATCTAAAATTGTCAAAAGAAATAGAACATAATTGTTGCAACTGTTCATTCCTTAATTTCACAATCATAGATGTCATCACATGAGAATAGGTGGAGGACTTATTAGAGGCATATCTTGGGGGGGGGGGGAGAGAAAAATAACTAGCATAGGGTGTGAAATCCTTTTTTATCTTTCTCTCCTCTTGCTCGAAGAACCAACTTCAGGCCTTGATTCGTCCTCCGCAAGGAAGGAACGAGTCGGTTCCCCTTTGCGTATTTCGGTAGCATAAAGAAAATAGATTCAAATTAACAAACCACCAAAAGAGTGAGAAAAAGGGGGCAAGTGTTCATTAGTCCATGTGCAACAAACAAAGAACAAGGATAGCACCGTGCCCTCAATCTTTGGCACATCTAGATCGGTGGAAACTCACTCAATCTGTGCGTATAACGGGGTACCATACTGAATTTTATATATATTATATAAGAAGTTCACTCCACTTTATATAGAGTGAATAGAATTGACTCTATACTCATATCCATGGAACAACTGTAAACTAAACTCCATCTTAGTCTACCCGACTTTCACTTTAACTTGAAAGAGTAAGTTTTCGCCTTTGTTTTTGAAAAGTCAGGACCCGTTGGGGAATCTATTCTAGACCCTCCTGCCGGCCCTAAATGTAGCTTACTCTTCCTTGGTATCTTCCACGGATCTATCGATATGAAATAAAATGAATTCAAGGACAAAGTCGTTGGTATACTGTGATCCAGACCCAAGAAGGTCCAGACATGAATCGGAAAGAGTAACTTTCCTCATAGGAAAAAGGGTACACGCTAAAGCTAGAGCAACTCTTTTTTACGATATAGGTGTAATTTCATTAATTCAGTACTTAAGGTCTTTCGTCGTCAAACGAATAAAAAAAAGAAGGTTGGCTTTTCACCGTGCTCTTTTTTTCAGTTATAGGGTGGAGAGAGGGAGGCAACTAAAAATTTTGGAGTCGAGTTTATGCTTTTTCCTCCTCTGTCGATAAGCTTTTCATAGCTGTAGTCGTACTCAAGTACCTTTTTGGGGGAATCCACTTCTGAGATGGAGAGAATCCCAAGATGCATATGCTCTTTTCAAGGTTGAAGGAAGAAGTAAGTGAATCTATTGGACTTCTTTGTGGTATGGCAGCATTAGCAAAGAAAGAAGCTGCTCACTCTGCTTTACCGAGAAAGGGTGCAGTAGGAAAGGGGTTACTATCATACGGAAATGAAACTAGTAAACTAAGATGCCGGAACCCTTGCTTTCGTCTTGTCTTTACTCCTCCCCCCATTCTCTCGTCGCTTGTCCGCACAACTCTGATACCCGAATCTCCTTTTGTTTGAAATTTATTAGACATGAATGAACTCGAACAGACGTACCCACCGGTTCTACTTTCTTCCATATGAGTTCAGTTTTATAATATTATTATCGGACTCCATTTATTGTATTTGGTCTAGCTATATTACAAGCTTTTGTTTTTATGATCAACGTCTAATTATAGTAGACAACCTACTTTGTTAATAAAGAGAAGTTGGGGACATAGTAAATCTCCTACTATAAGAGCGATTCCATGGGACCGAAAGGGGAAATATTGAATCATGAAAGACTAATCCCCCGGATATCAAGATCGAGAGGGTTAGTGTACTCTTAAAAAGGAATACCCAACTTTTGGTGTCATCTTCGATCAAGAGGAGAGAATAGCAGACCATTGAAAGTCTCAATTCCTACCCGCCCAAGGTAGAGAGTTCGATTTCAAATCCAACAATTTATTGACCTACGAATATGCTATTACGAAACTCAACCCTTCTCCACAAACTTTTTCAGTTGTTGGATGCGCAAAACAACCTATTCCCCTTTACGACAACTCGGTGACCTTTGACAGTTACACCTGGTTGCACGTAATCTTGACTTTTGCCCTTCACTCATGTAGTCAGACTAAATAGTGGCTTTAAATTAAACCTTAAGACCGAGCCCTGTCTCACACCTTTCGTTTCATGGCAATGAAAGAGTAAAAATATAAAAGGAAGATTTCGGCAAACAGAAGCCCTCGGGACTTGACACTTGGACACCGAGAAGCTTGCCCCAGGGTCGTTCATTTGGAACTGCCCTTTTCCTTTCCAAAGTGGAGTTCCTCCTTTCTTTCCCCTTGAACTTTGCCAAACTCCACTTTTGCTGTTACCAGGTTGAATGATCCATTCAACCTCTGTATCGTCAACACAGACAACCTTCTCCGTCGAATGAATCTTCAAATCATTATGTTCAAACCACGACTCCGATCACGGTTTCCAGTTGACTTTATCTTAGGTGATAGGGGAAGGACAACACTTCACAAAATGCTCTTTGATAGTGAGGGAGATTGATACACTCAAACTTACTTCTCAAATAAGAAGTAAAGCGATCATATCAAGTAAAGAATCCTTGGTCCGACATCTAGAAAGTGTCACTCCACACCTTGGTCTGGCTACATGTGTTTCTATACTAACCCTTACCATTACCTCATTAAGCATTGTATTCGATATTTGACTAAGTTATTACCTCGTAGCAATCAATACTAGCCTATTAAATAATATACACTAAATCTATGTTGATAATTCTTTTCCTATTATCTACCTCCTTGGTCTGGCAAGTAACACTAAGGCGAGTTCTAACGTTGGCCATCCGTTAAAAAGACTTCTAAGCGAAATAATTATCAATACATGCAAGACACTATTCTAGAATTGTTATTTTAGTTAGATTTTATCTTATTATTCACCCATGGTTCCCACAACCCTAGTTATGGAGTTTAGTTACCCATAGTCATAATTAAAATATTCATATATATATATATATATATATATATATATGATATAAGAATTCATGCACTTACTTCAATGATAAAGAATAAAATCTAGAAATTTACTTGATTAATCGACAAAATCACCAACAATCAACTCAAGAGAAAAGTAAAACAATCCAAAGTGTAATAGTCAAAATAATGTCCGCACAAAGAATATAACATAAGAGTGTCTAATAATCAAGAGTCTAACAACCAAGAGTCTAACCTCAAAAATGAGGTTTTTCGAACTATTTATAAAAAAACAGAAACCTAATCAAAGAAGGACTCTATTTGCTGGAAATCTTTCAAAATGTGGTTGGGTTGACGAACCTCGCGACTGGTCGTCGTGGTCACGACGGGCCGTCATAGACTCTGTCATCCCATACTTTGCAAATTCTTGTGCTTCTCTCTTCATTACCCTCGACGGCAGGTATGACGGATCATCATAGGCACAATGGTCCGTCGCGTGTCTTCGTTCCATAACACTTGAACTCTTGGAATTTGGGTACTGGGACTACTTCTCTGATCATCATGACGAACCAGCAGGATGGACCATCATGGATACGACGGTCCATCACGCACTTTGTAACCCCACACTCGGTCAGACTTCCCCATCTTCCTTCAGCAGCTTCACTACGATGCCATTTACGGACCGTTACGGGCACGACGGACTGTCACAAGCTCCATAGGTGGTACTTTTCTTCATTTCTTGCTCAAAAACTTCCGCGTTCATCTTTAGACAGATTTCCTACAAATAAAGAGAAACTTACGTAAAAATTAATATAAAAAGGCTTTTGGACAGACACTAAACTTAAGGAAAAAGCATTAAAAATATCGTGAAACCACGGTATATCAACACCCTCAACTTAACTTCGTCGTTTGTCCTCAAGCGACGCACTATGACACTAAAAAATCTTTGTACAATAGTATCCATGTTTTATCTTTTGCAATCATTTTGCTATCATTCACAATCAGTCTCATCATATTTATGCATGTTATCACTATTATGCTTGAATTATGTGGATTCAGAACATGACATACACTCACAATGCACTAACATCTACCCTCTTCAAATCATATGGATCAAAGAAGGATTAATTTCATTTGTTTTTTTTATTTAGGCTAAAAATGGCTATATTGAACAAGGGTCAATGATCTTTTCCTAATTGTCTATTACAGCTTACTTTTAGCAGGACTAACCAGGCAAGTTCTAGCACAGTACAAATAGTGGACTATTCAAATCTTCCTCACACTCACTTGACATCTCATTACTCTACCAGATTATCAGACACCTAGTTCAAATTTTAGACTTAAGGTCATGCAGTGGTTTATCTCTATGTCATGCTTAGAGCCACACATTTATCAATTACTATGCCTATTCATGCATTATTATAATTTCATCAGGATATCATTTTAGCCATCATGATTCCGAGTTAAACTATGTACACAATATATAGACATGCCGGTATCATTTTAGCCATCATGATTCCGAGTTAAACTATGTACACAATATATAGATATGCCGGTTCAGCAGTAAAAATAATTAGTCTCTTAGGGAAAAAAACACAGGCAAGAAAACCCCAAAACAGGATAGTGAGTTGGGCTACTCAGACTTCACCCTAGCACTCACTTTCCATTTACCCTAACCCCAACCTCAACAAAAAGACATGCAATTGTCCCCAATGCATAAAAAAATTAAAATACGAGAGTGGTAGTTGAAGCAAACCTGGGGCGCAAAGCACCGACAATCAGCAAGCTAGTGGATAAGGTCCCTTGGAACCCACTACCTCTATAATCTGGACACCCTCAGTAGTGTCCACATCACCAAAAACACTATAAGTAGTGGCTCCCGCTATTTCCACATTTCTGGAACTAGATGCCTCTGCGGCTGACTCTATAACCCTCATCTGACGCGCCTCCTCAATAGCAAGCGAGTCTCTCCTCATAGCCTCCATCTCAAGATGATCCTTCTTGTGTGCTCTAGCCTCATCCTCCTCTCGAACCTTACGACTCTTGGCATGCTCTCGAGGGGGAGGTGGTGGAATCTCAGAAGTGGCGAATAACGCCGCCATCACTGTGTCGTAAGTAGGCTCTGCAGAAGGGGCCTCAGACTCAGGCACCATAGCCTCTAGGATCATATCAATGTCTGCTCGAAGAATCTTGACCGCAGCCTGAAGGGTCGAGACATCCACCTGAGGGGATGGCTGAGCTTGCACCCGCAACTCAAAGGCGTCTAAGCGCTGATGAACCTCAACGATCTTCCACTATATGCTTGACCATTCTCCGCTCAAAGCGCTCTTCTGCCTCAGCAATAGACCTCTGCATCCAAGGCTGGATGTGATGCAAAAGTGTAGCCATATGTGCCTCTAGTTTCTAGACCCTAGCAAGCGGAACCAGAGCGGGGAAATGGGATGAGCGAGAGGAGCTCGGGGTAGTGTTACTACCCAAGATAAACATGACCAGGGTAGTGTTAGTGGTTACAGAAGAAGACTGCGTAGACGTGCGAGCCTGTGCTATAGTATCAGCCAGATTGTCACCAAGTGGAGGCAACTCTTGACGGGGCCCTCTGCATGGAGCCAACTCACTGGTCTCATCCTTGATGAGGCCGATATCACCAGTGCCCAACGGAGTCTTGAGCTGATCATGTTCCAGATGGGCACACCTGCAGACCTGCATAAAGAAAATATCATGCACGGAAAAGGGTAAGTATTTGTGACCTTAAAAGACCTCTCGTGCATGACCGCCTGTAGAAGCCAAGCAAAGTAAACCTCAAACCCGGCTATCATCGCCTCCATAAGAACTGCACGATCCCATGTGACTATATTATCAGAGGCTGTGGGGGAAAGGCAGTGGCAGACAATCAACCATAAGAACTTCGCCGTGAAGGTCAGGTTAGCCTTCTTGATAGCTCGATTACCCAATCGGCACCCTCTCCATCAACAGTTAAGTGTAGGGCCATCCACCTTTTGGTGGTCTCTCTCAGCAATGGCTCACGCAAGAATTGGCCATCTTTGACAATTTGCCACCGGTAGTCAAACTCGACGGTGAGAGGGGTCCAGTTGACATCAACATACTCGCCGTATAGATACCGGCTAATGGCAGGCAGGGAGATATCAACCTGAATACCACGTACTCGAACATGCTCAAGAGGGGCCTGTTTGGCGGAGGAAGCCCGCCTGTCAATCTTTGATATGAGAGTTGCCACGTAGGAGGCGTAGAACTCTCGGACCAACTCTTCACTATAACGGCCCAAAGACTGCGCTGTCCACTCCAGTCGGTGTCAGGTGAAGAGATTGTGGATCTCTGACATAGTAGGGAGACTTCCCGTAAGGACCCGCTTCTCCAATGTAAAGGTCCGTGTCATGACTCCTTTCTCATTCAGAAACTTTGCACCT